GAAGGAAGGAAGGAAGGAAGGAAGGAAGGAAGGAAGGAAGGAAGGAAAAAAAAGGTTTTTTGCTCTACACATTAAACAAGAATAATCCAAAACAGCAAAGACAAGAAAAACAAAGAAGGTAACACACCAGTATGCTCTTCGGACTTTTACTAGTAATTATGGTCACGTTTTCAACCGTAAACCTTGTTTACTTATGATCTGAATCAATTCTCTCACGACTTCATCAGTCTAGCTGTTGGCTCTGTTCTAAGATAGATGTCTGCTGCATTCTACAAACTGATCTTTGTTTTTCTGCCAACAGTCAGGACCAGAATTGCTCAAAGAGCATTAAATGCATGAAGAAATCTTACTGTCATTAGTTTGGGCTGTTAATCAACTAGCTTGTTACAATCACTCTGTGTAGTGACATGCACAGTACTTGTCATCTTGAATCACATGCATGCAATTTTTATAAAGCTGGGAAATACACATTTAGTAGTCCTTTTTTAAATAAGCTAGATAAGATATTTAGATTTTTTAAAAATCTTTAGTGTAAAGAGTTCTAAAATTTTCACTACATTAATGCATTGGCATTAAGATAAATAATTTTCATTAATAAATTAGCCTTCTTCTAAATTAGCTGTCTTACAAAGGAGATTATGACGGCTTTCATCAGCCTTGACATGGCTTCTCTTTTCTAGGCTCCAAAATGTATATTGGCCCAGTATTCCAGATTTGTGATCAAGCAATCTTAGGGTTGTTCTTGCTTTGATGTGAGTAGTTAGTGGTCTGGAAATGGCTCTTAAGAACAATTTGTCTTTCATGTCTTGGCTATACTTTTTCTGTTTATGCCAAAGCATGAGAGCAGAAATGAAAAATGAAGATGAAAAGATGAAACTGGTCACCTGCTTTCTTTTCTGGAAGCGACTTTCTTCAGGTCTTGGTTTATTCAGCTAGCCCAAAACTTAATAAACTTTGCAGTTATGAATCTGACATACATGAGACATATTTCAATTAGAGAGAGCTACCGAACCTTATTCATATCTCTATTTAATTTGCTTATGGAACTAAACAATTTGGAAATAAGAGTTAAAACTGGAGCCATAATGTGACCTAGAAATGAAGGACTGAACAGTATGGTCCCCATTTCATCAGGGACTTTTTAATGAACAGGTGCAGGGTCCATCTTTCACTGCTATCAGTAAATAATCAGTTTCCTCTTTTAGATAAACATAAAATGCCTGCAAATGAGCTTCAAACATTAACTCAGCATTCACTCACTGTATGAGGAATATAACCATGTCTCAATGTGAGAATAAATTTGAAAAGTAAATGACCAGTGTTGCAGAGCTGAATTTTGACACAGAAGAACCACCGTCTGGTTTGATGGTATCAAGAAATTTGGGCATACTGAGCCACTTTCACACAAAGCAAATTGGGGTATTTAGTGCTGGGGCAGTGAGTGACATAGGAGATGCACAAACCAGTAGATTTGAAAAAGGCTTCATATATTCTCATATCTGCTAACACAAAGTAACCTAAGCTAACTGTATGAAAAAGTCCCAGCCTCTCAGATTTTAGCAGAAAATCACTGTGGATACCTGAAGGGCCTCCTCTATTATCTGGGCAATCTTGGTAAGTTTTTTATCTTTTATTTTGACTTGCCTACAACTTCTCAAAGGATGTGAAAACATAGAGAGAATGCTTCTTGCTTGCCTATTTTAAATGCTATCATATTTTTGATGCAAATAAATACTCCTTGGAATATTATATACAAAAAATGTATCTATACTGCCAGCAGGAGTCCTGCAGATGGCTACTTTTGCCCTCCTATAATTGACTAAGACTGAACACAGACTTAGTTGCAAAGGAACAAATTCGGTGTAACATAGGAGGTCATATTGTCAAAAATCATAAAGGCAGGACAGGTTCCAAAAAAAAAACAACAAAACACCACAAAACCAACAAACATCAATGGAGTTGAATACAAGTTAATAAAAATTGACTAAACATTGACTGAAAGTTGACTAAACCTAATTGGAATGACTACTTGCAATTTAAAAATGATCTCAACATTCTGATGGAAGTTTCAACCAATATCATACTCTTTCATTCACACAAATATTCTGACTAAAATATACAAAGCTTGAAAGTAACAAGCAAATTGAAGTGACCTTTTATTATAATAACACAGTCTTAATGTTATTACAATAAATTGTCTTCCTACTGAGACCTGATGACTTGTAAAATCTTTTTATTTACTGTTTGTTAGTTCTGGTACAAGATATAATGTAACAGTTGGTTCACAAATTGCCCCATGTTTATGGAATCTATCATTTTGTCAGTACTGCATCTCATCGCTCAGCCTAGGACATAATGCTGGCCATAAAATTATCCTACTGTGGTTGAACTGGCTGTATGTATTAGTAAAGAAGCTGTCTAAACAAGAGAGAATATCCTGTCTTGCAGAAAACTGCAAAAAGAGCAGATGGAAAAAACATATATAAAATAACAAAAAAGAAAAGGAAAGGTAAATATTAGGTTAAACAGTATAGAAATAACAAGCAAGAAGTATAGCAATTTAAAAAGACTCTGTCAGCTGTAGAAGGTAGATATGCACATTGGCTGATGGACAGAATGAAGTGGGGAAACATACCATTTTATTTTGAATAGGTCTGTATATTTCTAGTGTTAATTAAATTGTGTAATATTCTGGAATTCGGCGTGGAATCTGTACTTTTCTTACTGTGAAGATCTGAGAAGGGAAAACTGTGGGACCAGATTTTCCCACATCTGTAGCCATCAGCCCAAGGGCAACAAAGTTCATTTGTCAGCTTGTATAAAGGAGTGTTTGGGACCTTTGCACTGTGAGAGCCCCTTCGGAGCCATTGTACAGCCCATGCCCCTGCTCTGCCCCTCTCCTAGGTCTTAAAGAAATATGCTCCTGCTGGAGTGGCTTTGGAACATTAGAGTGTGTATGAGAAAATAATATTTGATCAATAATGTTTTCAAATAGTTATTTAGAAGAGGAAAAGAGAACTTGAAATGCTGGGTCACACAGATGAATCATCAGATCATGTCACAGCTGAACTATCACAGTGGTCTGTGATTAGAAAAAGCATGGTATCCTCCAGTCACAGCTACAGCCTACAAACACAGCTGTACTAACCTCTTGGG